GGCTGCAGTGGTAGTATGGACCAAATGCATTCAAATAAGACTGGATTAATTGTGAAAATTGGGCGGCATGGACAAGTTGGGCTGAAGGACCTGTATCCATGCTCTAAACCTCTATGACTCTAGAGGGTTATGACAATCTTCCTCTATGAGCTACTGAGGACTTGTTCCTCCACCACATCAGAATGGGAGTGTTGGAATGACTATCATTGTGAAAGGGTTGCATCTGTCTCTGGGCTAGAGTGCCACATTGGACACTTTCTTGGACTTGCTCTAACCATCCCTTTCACTTCAGGGCTTGCTGTACACCGAGACTCTGCCTCTTTTTGCAGGAGTAGGGCTAGCTGTGGGTCAGTTCCTGAGCTTGAGGTGCCAGGATTGGTCCAGGATCCTGGCTTGGATGGATAACCGGGTCTGGTCCTGGATTGGGATTGGAAATTTGAATTGGATTTGGATCAATGATTGGTCTGGGGTCTGGATCAGGGCTCAGGTAAGGGTCCACTTCCCCCAGTACCCCTAGAAGCAAATAGAGTTGGCGGTTGTTGCTTTGGATTCTGTAGGCCTTAAACATGGTACCACCCAGTTTTTCCTGTATCCAGCAAAATTCAGTACACAGACTGGCTGACCTTGTCCATAACTGAGTGGAGACCTGGATATCTGAGGGACAGGAATATTCCTGGCTGGAAAGTTTGCGTCATCACCTGCTGTTCTGCCTTGTACTCTACGAGGTTCACCTTCCCATCAAGTCCTCCTTGCTCTGCCTTTGCCTTTCTGCTAATCTGATGGCTCTACTTTGTGTGCAGCCTGTACATTTTAAAATAGAATTTTCATAGCTTTCTCATGATGGAGGGCTGCAACTTAAGACTGTGTGTTAATCCTAGTCCTATTAAGAGTTTGATACCTCTCATAGAGTGACTGATCAGTAGTATGTGAGGGGACAGGGCAATATGAGTCCAGTTGAGTTGGGAATGATTTCCGAGTTCAAACCAAGCTAGGTTTGAAGATGGAGAATAAAACTCTGATCCAGGTCAGATGTTTTGTTTGATGACCTTTTGCAGCATCCCTTTGAGGGTGTTATTCATCCTGTCTACAATCCTGCTGGGTTAACAATAGTAGGCGATGTGGAACTTTTGGCTTTTGCCAAATCTCTTCATCACCTGCATTCTCTGGGCTGTGAAATGGGTTCCCTCTTCAGAATTTATACTGTGGGGAAGATACCATCAAATGAAGGTGTGCTGAATTAAGATGTCTTTACTGCAGCTTTAGTGGTATTCACTCGAGTCGGGAATGCCTCTACTGATTTGCTAAAAATGCCCACTCTGACCAGGATATCCTTTTATTGCACTTTTCAGGGTGGTAAGGAGCCAAAGTTGTCTATTTAAAGGTCAGTCCATGGTCCTGCTATTTGCTTAGCAACTCGTAACTGGTGCTTCAAATCTCCCTCATTAGCTTTTATTGTCTGGATTGCTCTGGGCATGGATGATATAATTCTTGACATAATGTTTATTCTTTTCCCATTCCTGGTCACCAACACACTCCCTTAATTCTGTCAGTTGTGGTTTCTGTTCTTTGATGACCTGGGACATCATGGCATTGATTAATCACTTGATTTCAGTACCATCCATCATTAAGAACAAGTCCATCCTTATCACTTGTCCTCCCACTTGCTGTACAAGGCAGGGATCGTTCCCTCCTATAACTGCTTTAACTCGGCATCTCTGCTCTGAGACTGGACCAGATCTTTGAGCTCGGTTTGGTTAACAGTGACGACATCTATTTGTTCTGGAATTGGGGCTGCCTTGGTTCTCCTTTGTGGGCACCATGCTTCGCCAATTTGTCTGCCCTTAGCTCCCCCTTGGGGAAGTTCGGTGGTGGGCTCGAACCTTCATGATGTTGTTGTATTTGCTGCCTTGGGGAGTAAATTTGAGCAGGGTTAGACAGTGGGATTTCCTCCGCTAAATTTGGCTGCATGATCTTCCCTCACCAAATTAGCTGTTGCTTGTCTCTCCAATCCTCCCAGTGGCATGGACCGAGGTCTCAGCATGGCTCCTGTGTCAGCCCTAACTGCCTGGGTACCCTCTCCTGTCCTGTATGCCCACAATTGTACTTCCCTTGCGGAAGCAGCTACTGCCTTAGAGCTCCCTGCTGCTGATCCCGATCCCTTACTGCGTGATAGGCATATGGAGGTGGATGGTTCCGATAATAATTCCCCTTGTTTCTATCACCATCCCCCCCGCCTTATTTCTCCGCAAGAGACCAGGGTTTGGGGATTTTACTGGGTGTATTTTTCATCTGACTGATATGGGGTGCTCCAATTCATTAATCTTCTTTCTCCTAAGCCCAGGTCATCCTGCTTATCCCCCATTGTGATTTCTGGATATTGCCTATGGGATCATTATTTACTCAGGCTTTTCTTGCTGCCTCAGTGATGAGACAAGCATTCAGGTGCAATTTGCCCTGTTTTGTAGAGCCAGCTCAGTCCGATCTAAGTTACTGAAGACTGCTATGAACCATGTCCACACAGGCATCTGGCAAATGCAGTTGGGTACGCTCCCTTTCACTGCCTACACTTATTTAATCCTTCCATGGGGTCTCCCCTATTATATTCTATAGTGGCTCAGATTGCTGGCCTGTACCTCCCCTCCTCCCACACTCACTCTGAGGCCTGGGGAAGGCAGAATGGATCGCAGGGCTCAGGCACATTAACTTTAACTTTACCTCTTTGATATCACCAAACCCGTGGAGATCTCTTTGGTGGTGGGTGCTGTCGAAAACATTCAGGGGTCAGCTGTGAGGTCAAATACAGGGATGTCTTTTGCTATCTCTGCCAATTTTAGGGGTAGGCGATGGCCTAGTGGTATTATCACTAGGTTATTAAGCTGGGGACCTTAATAATTTGTGTTTGAATCCCACCACAGCAGATGGTGGAATTTGAAATCGATAATAATCTGGAATTAAGAGTGACTATGAAACCATTGCTGATTGTCAGGAAAAACCCATCTGGTTCACTAATGTCCTTTAAGGAAGGAAATATGCCATCCTCACCTGTTCTGGCCTACATGTGACTCTAGATCCACAGCAATGTGGTTGACTTTTAACTGCCCTCTGGGTAATTAGGGATGGGCAATAAATGCTGATCCAGCCAGTGATGCCTATATCCCATGAATGAGTAAAAAAACTGTGCCACTGTAAATGGGGTTGTAAAGTAATTGGATGATTGTTCCGGTTGTCCTGATGGGTTAGGATCGATGTGACAGGGTAAGATCCTAGCGGCGCCGAAGATTTGGGACCCCCATATCCTTCACTGCTCTCAGTGTAACCACAAGCTTGTTCTTCTATTTCCTCCCCATCTATCCCATAATCACTGACCCATCTGATTCTATCACCCCGAAATACTCATGGCATTCCCCTTCGCATGGAAAGTTGGGACTTTTATTTTTCAGTCTCGTCCCGGTATTTCGAATGGTCCACAGTGCGGGCTCTGTTTTCTTTGCCTGCCTGGTGCAGGACTCTGAGCACAACCTGTAGGTTTTTACTTATCTCAGTCAGCTCATCCACAATTCCTTTTGGGCAACATCCTGATCACTGACTGCACACTGGGTCTGAAACTGTCCCAATGTACAGTGTTCACCTGTTTCCTCTGCTCCTGCCCTGCTGCTTTGACCTTCATTTTCTCCAGACACTGCTTCACTTCCTGCAGCTCCTTACTTAACTTCACCTTCTCCTATTCTCTACCAGCTCCATGCACCTGGCTGCCACTATAGCTTCGCAGAGGTTAAAAACATGCTTCCCTTCAACTTACCATACCACCTGCCAAAGCTTCCAGCCCACAGCTCCCAGATCTGATATTTGCTCACTGCAATGGTTGACTCACCTGGGCCACTTCATATTTAGGTCATTTCTGACAATCTCCTCCCACTCTGGGATCTGTCCCATTTTCTCTCTCTCTCTCTCTCTCTCTCTCTCTCTCGTGGATCCCTGACCCCTATATTAGCTGCTTTTTCACTTCTCGGAGTCTCTGGGTCCTTGACCCTTTTCACCATCTCTTACCTCACGGGTCCCCAACCCTACTCTAGCTTCTCTGTATCCTTGTGTGTCCCCAACTCTAATAACTGGCTTCTCACCACCTCATGGGCCCTGTTTTCTGCAGGCCCTCTACCTTGCACTGGATTTTCTTTACCATGGGTCCCTGACACTGTACTAACTCTGGCTGCTTGTCCGCTTCAAGGTATAATGGTTTATGGCCCATTCACTGGTCGGAAATCTTCAACCTCTTTTACACACTTGAGCCCTGACCATCACATGGGCCAGCTACACTCTTAATTAAGGCTTAGGCTGGATGTCCTAGAGTTTAGTGTTGGTGGGGTATGATGTCAGACATCGTGCGCACACACGCACACTCGTGCGCTCTATCTCCCCAGCTGGTTGGAGCTCCATTGTTTGGTATGGCCAAGTCTTCAGTGAGTCTTCCCCGAGGCTGTGACATCCAGGTATGTATTTTTATCCCTTGTCTGTGAACTTCCAGAATGGGTGGTACGGTGGCTCAGTGGTTAGCACTGCTGCCTCACAGTGCCAGGGACCCGGGTTTGATTCCACCCTCGGGTGAATGTCTGTGTGGAGTTTTCACGTTCTCCCTGTGTCTGCATGTGTTTCCTCCGGGTGCTCCGGTTTCCTTCCACATTCCAAAGATGTGCAGGCTAGGGTAGATTGGCCATGCTAAATTGTCCCATAGTTCTGAGGGATGTGTAGATTAGGTGGGTTATAGGGGGATGGGTCTGGGTGGGATGCTGTGAGGGTCGGTGTGGACTTGTTGGGCCAAAGGGCCTGTTTCCACACTGTAGGGATTCTATGATCTACTGTTCTGTGACCTTTGGCCATTTGAGTCTTGAATGGGATTCAAAGTATCCAATGGGTGGTGCCAACATCCTTTGTTGTTGCCATGCCGGGTAGGTGTAAAGTGGATATACTGAGGCAGTCAAGATGCCAGAATGCCTAATTAATACCTTTTCCATACACATCCCTCAGACTGGTTGTAACTCTCTCCTCTTGAACATTTGTGACCTCTTTGACCTTGGTTTCTCTGTAGCTTGGTTTCTCTTTGACCTTGGTTTCTCTGTAGCTTGGTTTCTCTTTGACCTTGGTTTCTCTGTAGCTTGGTTTCTCTTTGACCTTGGTTTCACTGTAGCTTGGTTTCTCTTTGACCTTGGTTTCACTGTTCTCTGTAGCTATTTGCTGTTGGCTGCTGTTTAATTTAGTTTGGCCAATTTTCTGTCAGGTCTAATTTCTCTGACTGTGGGTCAATTAATAGAACGTGCAGTTTTGGGCCTGTGGTCTCTCGACCACTCTGGATTGTTGCTAATGTTTGTTCAGCGCTATGTAGCTACAATTCTAAATATCAGGGAAGGTTTTCCCTCCTGTTTCCCATGCTAAGTCTGATAATGAATTTACAGGTCCCCTTTGAAAGGGGTCCCTGGGTTGACTTTATGATAATGTTTTTGGAAGGCTCTGTATGCATTAGTGGTTTTGACCTCCTTCTGTTGATGGAATCACCCCTGTATAGGAGTGAGCTGTTTTACCACAAAATAGTAACCGAGAAAATCAACTTCAGCTAAAATAATTTCTCCTTCTTTTACAGCAATACATGCATCACTTGTCGTGGCTTAGCTACAGTTTACACACTTATTTGAGGATAAAAGATTTATTTCAAAAATATTTATTTAAGCCACTTGTGGTGAGACAGCATCTAAAAGCTTTTAATATTATTTGACCTAGTAGCTGGAAGCTACTGAGAAACAGCTGCTGCTTCACTTTTTGCTATTTTGGTGGTTGGCAGAAGAAAGGACTTTGAAACATCAAAATTCCTTTATTTCTTTGGAATTTACAGAGCTGCAGTAATCTATGTAGCCAAATACTGATGCTATTCACAACTTCTTCTTTTTAGAAAAAAATGTTTTATTTTCATTCTTTCATTAGGAAGACCAGCATTTGTTGTCCATTCCTAATTGTAGGTTAATAATGCCACAAGTGCAGACAAAGCACTGAAGTTCATTACTCGTGGAATAGAATTCAAAGGCAAATAATTTCTGTCAAATTTGTTTATAATATTAGTTAAACTGCCCTTAAGAATAGTGTCCATGTTTCTGGTGTTCATATTATAGAAGTAAATGTAGAAACACTGGAGAATTTAACAAAAGATTTACAAAGATGACGACAAAACTGGATTGAACTATTGTAAAAGACTTAACAAATTGAGTCTCGACAGATAGGCGATATGAGAGACATCCTTAAAATTATCAAGGTTTAGTGAGTAGTCATAGCAATGTTCTGATTTATAAATCAATCTATATTAAGGAGTCTTAAGAAAACCAGTAGGAAATTCAGGAGAAACATATTTATTCAGTGAGATGAGATTGTAGATCTTATATGGTTGGGGTGAAAAGCTACATTGATAGATGGGAAGGCTGATAAGTACATGAGAGACAAAAGAATAAAGGATGTATTGATAAACTGAGATGAGGTAAGGTGGGAAGTGGCTTATGAGTAGCATAAATACTACTGCTATGCTGTGAAATTCTAGCTCGATGTGATCATGCATCAGGGCATTTGAGCCAAATTAGGCTCTGATCCACTCTCATTTGCTATTGCAAATAAGGTTTGACATTTTATCTCAGAAGTTGCCTGCATTGTCGTATGTTCATAATTTATTTACAGGGAATGTCAACTAAAAGATTAAGGGAATAGCTTGCTTTCAAAAAAAAATGATCTTCAAAAAATTGACAGTTTTGTTTTCAATTTGGAAATGAACTCGATTGCAATTGAACTTGAAAATCTAAACACTTTAAATGAAAAGTCACCATTAGCATGTACTGTTTTGCATGTGGGGATGAGGGTCCATTTCTCAGAAATAGAATATTCCCTTTTCCGCTGCCTACAAAATGCTGCACTAGCAGATAAAGTTTGACATAGTCTGGTAAGGATTAAAATGTATTTGCAATGAACTCAGCTTCTCTCCCAACAGTTTTACTGTGATTTATTCCACTTCTTACTACTTTGTATTTGTTCCTGTGTTTGTGTGCAATTTGTCACAAATTGGCAATTTTGTGGTATAGGCGCAGTTCTGTCAAGAATTAAATTTGAAATAGACCTTTCTCTTTTCACTAAGATAATCTTCGTGGTGTTCGTTTTTTTTTTCCCTATTTACTTCCTTTTTATCATTTTCAGTTATTTTCAATTGTTGATCACCCTTTAATGTTTTCAAATTCACTTCTAGTGGCATGTTGAAAGCTGATAACTTACTGAGTATCCAACTCTGAGCAAAGGTACTCTTAATGATTCTCTGTTAGTCAACAGAGAGGAAGATATACTACTGCTCAAGTGGAGGAAAGAAACAGACTCTTTGACAATCAAATTGTTAGCTTTCATTCAGCTTCTGAGACTCAGTAGCAGTTTGTTGCTCTCTGCAAAACAAAATATTCAAAACTATTGTGTTTCCTCCAGATTCTTAAGGAACGGCCATACATTATCTATGTATAAAGGTGAAAAATTTCACATCTCCAAACCCTTTTGAAGGATGTGTTAACCTCTTCTCTAAGTCCTTTCCCGGTTGTAATAAATGTATATAAAAAAAACAAACAGCAGTCTTCTGTATAAATTTAAATTGTACAATGCATTATCAGTGTTTTTCTACTTGCTAAAATGGCAACTATTTTTGGTACAGTTGCTATGAACAAACAGCACCTGCCAGTGTTCTAGCTTCACTTGGTTAATTCCTTGTGTTCACATTGATTGCCCAGTGGTTGACAAGTGGAATACACAAGGCATTAATCAGTCTTTGAAATTCAGGATCTGAGACAATAGACAATATCAATCAGAGGGAAAATACTCAAAGCTATCAAATTGCATTCGGATCTGACTTACAGTCGTAGACTAAGACAGTGGACTGGTTCTCAAAGAACTACCAAATAGTTCAGCTCTGATGAAAAGTCACTTAGACTTGAAATGTTAGCATGCTCTCTCCATGGATGCTGTCTGACCCACTGTGATCTCCAGCATTTGTTGTTTTCAGTACCAAATAGCCCCATTCCTTTGCTCCTTTGCAATTGCCTGCAAATTGATATTATTGACCTGTCTATGTTTTGTGTGGGATGCTTATCAGAGTTAGTCCTTTCAGCAAGAATTAGTCACATCCTATTTCATAGCTGTTAGATAACTGAAACTCACCCAGCTCTCTTCTGTGGTTCCTTGTAACTGCTTGCACATGATGCTAGACAGAGCCCAGCAACTGCATTCGCTCACACACCAAATGAAGTGAGGGTAGTATGTAAGGGAGCATGTGTGTCTTCAACCACCCATGAATACAAAATAAAAACCTGTCTTGATGCATTTTGGTTAAAAAATGATATTTTCTTAATGACACTGAAGGCATAACAGCATAGCTCTGACAACAGCTGTAAATTCCCTTAGGATGGACACAGAAGATGCTCCAAATCATCCGTTGCTGATGGTCAAACTTGCAGTTAACTGGATTGGTCAAGCCACTGGAAAGAAACATGCAACAGATATGGGAGATCGAGACTGGTCAAGAACAAACCACTTCCATCATAAGCAACTCATCTGCTGGTGCTTCTTGCATGCACACCTTAGATACACACAACAAACAGGAAGGATATCATCGCAGAGGAGCAGGATTCTAAGTTCAATACCACAGCTGCAAGTCAACATCTTTGGGAGATCAATATTATGTTAACAAAATTATTAAGGCCTTACAATCTGAATGACAGAGTGCTGGAGGATGTGGCCTGGAAATATTTGATGCATTGATAGTCATCTTCCAAAATTCTATAGACTCCAGAGCAGTTTCTACAGATTGGAGGGTGACAAATGTAATCCCACTATTTAAAAAAGAAGTGACAGAAAAAGAATTATAGACCAGTTATAACATTAGAAATGGGGATATGCCAGTGTCCATCATAAAAAAAATACAGTAATAAACCTCTTGGAAAGCATTAACAGGATTAGACAAAAGTTAGTGAGGGTTTATATAGGGGAAATCATACTGAACTAATCTTCCAAAGTTGTTTTTTTTTAAGGATGTCACAAGTAGAATAATTAAGGGAGAACTAGTGGATGTGGTGTATTTGGATTTCAAGAAGGTCTTTTGATAATGTCCCGCAGAAGATGCTAGTAGGCAAAAGTAAAACACTTGCAATTAGGAGTGATGTACAGGCATGTATTGAGAATTAGTTGACAGACTGGAAACAGAGAATAGGAATGAATGGAATAACAGTGTGGAGCTGGAGGAACACAGCAGGCCAGGTAGCATTAGAGGAGCAGGAAAGTTGATGTTTCGGGTTGGGACCCTTCTTGAGAAGAAAGATCCCGACCCGAAATGTCAACTTGCCTGCTCCTCTGATGCTGCCTGGCCTGCTGTGTTTCTCCAGCTCCACACTGTGTTATCTCTGACTCCAGCATCTGCAGTTCTTGTTACCTCCATTGGAACGAATTGGCAACAGTGACTAGTGGTGTACTGCAGGGGTAAGTGTTCGTGCCTCAGCTATTCATGGTATATATAAATGACTTGGTTGAGAGAACCAAATGCAATATTTCCAAGTCATTGTCTGTCCTTGTTCTTTCTACCAAAATCAATCACATCATACTTAAACCAGTGTTCTAGTGTAGCTTAGCGTAAGCTGGAAGAACAACACTTCGTTTTCTGCTTGGGAACTCTATAGCCCTCTGGACTCAATATTGAGTTCAACAATTTTAGGGCTTGATGCACCTTGTCCCTTGTGCTTACCACACACCCCACACGCCAGGCCTGGTTATCACGTGGTCAGCTATTACACACTACCATTGTTGCCACTGATTGTCCTCTTAGTGGCTTTTCATTCTCCCAGGCTGATAGTTCTCCATTCCTTTGTCTGTCTGACTGTTCTTCTCTCTCTTTGGACTCTATCTATACCTATCGTTCACTCTTTATACCCCTCCCCACCCTACATTCTGCATTTAAAAAAAACATTTCCCATCAGTTCTGAGGATGGGCTACTGCCCCCGAAACGTTAACTCTGACTTCCATCCACAAATGCGGAGAGACCTGCTGAGCTTTTTCAGCAATTTCTGTTCTTGTTTCTGATTTCCAGCATCTACAGTTCTTTTGTTTCTTATTTGAATCACAACGTACTTTTTGCATTAAATTTCATCTGTCCATTGCCAAATACCCTTTAGACCAATTACACGACACGA